GGCTATCGTGACTTTGCTCCCCACGTTCATCTCGTTCAGAGCGGCGGCAGCCTCAGCTGCGGCTGCAACTCCACCTGGCACAGTCTTGCCACCGGTGACTATAGTTTCGGCCGTATGAATAGCTGCGGCGTCCTTACGGTCCACCGGCTTATCGCCGATCGATATAGCAGCCGCTTCCAACGCCTCCCCTATCGTCACTGTGTCTCCTCCCGCCGTGCCCTCCGGATCTTCCTCCTCTTCCGCCGGATCCACGAATTTCCCCATAGCCTGTATCTCATGCATATATACGTATAGCACATGAGTATATTTGTATACGTGATACAGATTACATCTCGTGTGATCGATATATGGTACCTGTTCACGGATCGACTCGGTCGTGGCTCGGTTGTTGAAGTTGGCCGGAGATGATGGCATGGTCGAGGCCGAACTGCCTGTCAGGGTCTTCTGTACATCGGTGGTCTGAACCGTGGCTGCATCTCCGGCTGTGACTGGTGGGTCATCAGCGATCTCCGGGTCTGAGACGTTGAAAACGTCGTGGCATTTGATCGGATCGCGTGGCATCTCTGGTTGTTGTTTCTGAGCCATTCCTGTTAATTTCCCGTTTCTTCTCCCCAAGTTTTGCTATTCGGGCTTCCTAACTTTTTTCCTTAGTTTTTGGATTGGGCCTCCGTGTCCGATATGACACGTGGACTTCCCATGCATTAACACGTCGGCCCTAACCTAAACTCTGATGACAGGGCTACGTGGAAAATGTCTAATTTTTTAAAATAATTGAAAACCATCGCAAAAAAGGCTAAATTTTATAGTGGTTAAACCATTCTAGAAACAATAGTTAAATATTATTGCAAAAGTTATAATCAATTATTTCAAAAAAGAAAATAAAATATTATATGGCTCATCAATAGCAGACAAAACAATCGTGATTATCTGTCTTTTGATCTCTCAATAATTCAACTTTCCTTTGTTTTGTTGTTTGTTGTTGCAATACATGGGGTGCATCTTCTTTCATAATTGCCATCTCGATCATTTCTTGAATTATATCAAACCTAATCGAGCATAATAATATATCATAAAAAAATAATTTTTACACCAAATTAAATAAATTTGCAATAGATATAAAATAATAAATTAACTAAGAAATAAATGCATTTTTTAAAAAAAATACAGTTTTTAAATAAAAATCAAATCTATAGCGAATAATACCAGAATTTAATAATTAAATTCTGATAAAAAAAACAAATATATAAATTTTTTTATGAAACCGTACAAAATTTAGCAAATTGAAATAAGAAATAACAAGGTGAAACAGAAATAACCACAGAAAGTTTACATTGCTTATAATGTGTGCTTGTAAAACTACAAAAGACTTGAGTATATCACATAACTAAGTAATTATTGTAAGTTTCAATAAAATCCTATTAATTTAAAGCATGATACGTTTAGATTTCAGAGGACGTGTCATCTGGCATCTTCTTCACACAAGTTGAGCATTATTAAAAACAAAAACATTGTGATTTATTTAATGTTATTTTTATTATAATGCCATTGTGTTGTCACGTAGAGGCTTTCCCATGCATCGAATAATGATATTAACGTTGAGAAAGCAGGCCGACCACCCAAAGGAAATTGATAAATATTATTTTATTAGTCCTTAAAGTCTGGCTGACGAGATGGGTGCATAGCTTTGGAAATGATTTTTTTGGTTATGTGCTAAATTACTTCTGTACCCCCAATCCCCAAATAAAGAAGACACGAGGGCAAGATGGTAAATGAACAAGTCCAATGGCGTTTGTGTAAATAACCTCCTATCCGTCAGCACATAAGCAGTGTAATGCTACTGCCGTTTGCCATCTCTCTCTCTCTCTCTTTTTCATTTCTCAGATCTGTAGGATCGTTTCTTTGAAGCTTTAAAACCCTAAAAACGATTCCTTGCCCTGAAAGAGAAGAAGAGTATCTGAATCTCTCTCTCTCTCTGATATCACGGATTGTGTTGGGGGTCTTCATATTTTTCAGCTCACCCCGGGATCGTTTCCAGGTGATTTCTCGGCCATGGAAACTGCTATGCTTGCATCTTTTCTCAGGATTTTGTTCTGCTTTTTTTTTTATCGATTGGGTTTGTTGCTTCGTACATGGTGATTTACTGGGGGTTTTCCTTGTTTTGTATGGATGATTTTTTTTTCTGCAGTTGAGAGTAGTTGGCCATCTGATTCTGTGATCCGCGATTGAATCTGATCCCGAGGAAGATCCTTTTCATTTCTGATCGATTTTGTGAAGACAACGCGTCGATTGACCGAGGGAACGAACCAACTCTGACGATTTGATCCGCTTGTGTGGTGATGACTGAATCTGATTTGAGAGGAGAATCTGAGAAATATTAGTTTTCTTGAAGTATTTGACCTCTAGGTTTATTGTAGTGTATGATCTAGTGGATTTCCAACTGTTGACCGAGTGTTTGCCCCAATGGAAATGCTTTTTGTGCCGACAGAACACAGGAATCAGTGTGATGGGAGGGTCAAGTCTTATGGACCTGGTCGTTTCTGGCCATCTCCATCGAAAACGTTTAGGCAGATAAACTGTAGGACATTTCAGTCCGGGGAAGGGTTGCTCCCAAGGCCAAACAAGGCTTGTTCTACTTCTGTAACAAGATCTGCTCCTCAGTTTCAGTCTCCTGCTGCTGCTTCTTTGACTAAGTCTCCTTCTCCTCGGTCGGTATCTCCTCGTGCTAATCTGATCTCTGTTGACAACGTTAAAAGCTGCCCGATTCCAATCACTAGTAAAGGTTCCCAGATTGATGATAGGTGTTCTAGTGGATTCCTTGAAGAAAGTAGAAGCCCTTCTAGTTCTGAACTTTGGGCGGGGCCTACTTATTCCAACTCTCCGCCTCCTAGTTCTGTGCCGATTCCTAAGTTCTCTCTCAGGCAAAAGAGAACTGTTTCGCTGAATCTGCCTTCTTCTGATACTCTTGTTGATGTTCGCCCATTTGCTAAATCTGCACCAGCTTCCCCGACGAGGGAGCACAGCTCTTCTGCTGAAGAATTCTTTCTAAGCACGGATTCTGCGACTAAGACACTACGTCGCATTCTGAACCTTGATATCGCAGACAAATGAGAAGCAGGAGCCTTGCTCTCCTGTAAATTATCAAATAGGGAGCTGGGTTAGCTTTAGTTTGTATATATAAGAATAAGGTGTTAGTCACCAAGCTGGTGAGTTTATTTACCTTTTCATGGTGATGGTGGAGGAACAAAGTAGCAGTCTTGGCATTGGCAGGTTTGCAGTTTCTGGTTTTCCTATGTAGATGGTGGTGTTAGTGGTGTAGAATGAGATCGTGATTTGAGAAGGTGATGGACAGGGAGGAAGTATATGGAACTTGTGCAGGGAAATTGAATGTATGGGTGACCTGAATCTTGGTTTGGCATAGGATGGCACAACTTACCGGTCTCAAACATATTCACTTAGCTTCTTCTTGCCTTGGCCTTCCTAGTTTCTATGTAGAGCTGTTTATTCCTGGTAGCTTCTTCTAGAGTAGGATATATAACATCTTGATAACCTGTATATGCCTTAGATCTTTGAATTAGTTCCTGACTAGATTTCTTTCGAACCTAAACCTCTGTCCCTTCTAAGCCTGTTTCACCCTGGGTAGTACTAGTTCCTATAGTGTTGTCTTGTATTTCTGTTTGCGTAGACCTTCTTCTGTTTGTATCTCTTTTCTTACTTTCTTGGCCTCAGTCCACATAGTCTCAGTCATCAAGTCTTCCCTTCCTTCTACACCATTTCTCTCCAGCCTTGAAAGTGTAAATCTGTCATTTGCTCACACCCTGCTAAACCACTCTTCCTCTTCGTCACTTCTCCGTTTTTTTTTAAAAAGAAAAGTGGGAAGAGGTAGTCAGACTAATCATCCTCTTTGATTGTTTCTGCCCGGTAAGTTGTCCAGTGCGGAATCATGCTGGTCACACCCATCGTTCACTTCTCATACATCTGCTGAGATTGCTGCTACTCTTGTTTCTCCTCATTGCCGGTCTTCCCAAAGGCTCAGTCTCCTCAGAGTTAACCGATCCTGCTGCACAACTGCTTACTAGGTACTTGCATCTCTTCACTTCCAGGTATATAGAGTAAGATTGAATGTCAAAGACAAAAAATATTGCAACTTATACACGTGATTGATTTGTAACAGGGTACGTATCGTAGGTGGATGTGCCTTGCCTGGTTATGAGCTCTTTTGGTGATGCCTTGTCTCTGGTCCATGCTTAGGAGTCTGTTTCATACTCTGTGTTTTGCCGTTTCCTTTGTGGTCACTTGTCTTTTGTAGCCTTTCAGACAGTGTTTGCGTCTTGTGTTGATGGACATGCCCCCCAGTTCCCTTGTTAATGTCATTCTCAGTTTTTTTGTTTTTTTAGCCTGTTGCATGACGTGTTGTTCCTATGCGTATGCGCTCTATTTTCAAGTGAGCCAGATTGGAAGGTTCCCATGAACTTATGCAAGATTGAAGACTGAAAACTAATGAGAAAAGCATGCGACTTTTATCTTACCAGAAGAAAACTGCCCAAAAAGAAAATCTTTAAAGGAAAAAAACCCTACTTTACCTTCTCATAAGGATTCTTTTGTCATTTCACATTTATATTGTGTTTGTGAGAAAAATTGTTTTTTACTGCTCAAACTTTTAAGCGAAACCCCGTAAACCCCAAGTTTCTATAAGAGACGTTAGGAGGAGGGTTTTTGAACAATCGTTTTCTCTTCCTTCGGGCCTCATTTCTGCTGTCTGGTTGGGATAATCTTGCTCTTGTTCGTCCAAAGGTTCCTTTTTTTTTTGTGCATGGCTTCAGATTTGGCGTCGGTCTCGTGTTGTCCTCTACTTGCTCGATGAAATGGCCCAACGAAGCTAAACGTCAATCCCCAATTACTTCCACAGACCGCGGGAGAATCTTGGCTTTAGTGCTCTGTCAAAGATCGAGTCTTTTTTGTTGTCGTGTCAGGGCTCGTCTGAAGCTTGACCCTTTAGTTTGACTGGTTCTCATCGGTTGAAAAAAACAATGCTTTCATGGAGGATCGCGAAGATCCGGGCAGTTTCGGTATGCCCATCTCGATTTTATTGTCTGTTTCGTGGGGTTTCTGGTGATGCTGCTCCATCTGAAGTTGATTTGGGGTATAGTTTAATGGGCAAGATTATTGTCTCTCATGCTAGAAGAAACCTCATTGTGCTATCTGGCAACAGTAGTCGCGTCAGGTTCGAATCAAGGTATTCCCATAAAGCAGAATCATTTTCCACCGTCGCAGGATCTATATTAGTTCAGCCAAAGGATCCTGCGAAACTCAATGAGGAGATTCAGATTGCTGTTGATGAACGTAGATGTGATGATGCCTGGAGGCTGCTCGAACTATACATGCAGACGGAAGGATACCCTCCAAAATCTGTTGTGAACAATGTTTTGGTATGTTTTGCTGAAAGCCTTGATTCCAGTTGGCTAGAAAAGGCGTATGGTTTGGTAGAACGTTTCTTCGAGGAGAGTAAACAGAATTTGCTGGAAAAGGAACCTCTTATATATCTGTCATTGGCTCTTGCCAAGTCGGCCATGGTGGTTCCTGCATCGACAATATTGAGAAAGTTAGTGAAAACAGAACAGTTTCCTCATGTGAATGCTTGGTCAGCAGTATCGGCTTTCATGTCGCTTACAGGCCCGGGAGCTTATCTTTCCACCGAGTTGGTTCTTGAGATTGGTTACTTGTTCCAGAACAACAGGATCAATCCCCGTAACAAAAGTAATGCACCTTTGCTTGCAATGAAGCCTAATACCTTTGCTTTCAACACTGCTTTGGCTGGTTGTTTGTTGTCTGGGACGACACGAAAAGCTGAACAACTTCTAGATATGATGCCAAGAATAGGTGTAAAAGCCGACCTGAAATTATTGATTGCGATGGCTCGGCTCTATGAAAGAAATGGGCAGAGAGAAGAACTGGGAAAGCTTCAGAGATATATAGACGATGCTTGTAACCTAAATGAATCTCAGTTTTGGCAGTTCCACAATTGCTTGTTTCTGTGGCATCTGAAATCTGGGGATCTCGACTCTGCTTCGAGATTGATTCTGGAAATGCTAAGAAAGGGAAAGATGGCTCGGAATTCACTTGGGACCGCCATTCTTGGACTGGACACTGTGAATGGTAGATCAAATCCTGGAAAAGTTGCTGGAGAAGGAACAAAAGTACCCGATGGTCTCAAGAGTCGAGCATTTTCTACAAACAGTATGATTTCATACGAAGAGTTCTCTAGAGATAGAAATTTCTTGAAACTTGAAGCTGAGGCAAAGGATGTTCTTTGTTCTTTGTTGGCTAAGTTGCATCTGCAAGTTGAGTTGATTACCCCAGAATATGGTACTCTCCAGCCAAGTGAAGGAATTTTTGTGAAATTAGCAAAAGCTTACTTACAAAGTGGGAAGATAAAGGATTTGGCTGAGTTTTTGAAGAAGGCGGAACGTGAAGATGCCCCTGTTTCCAGTGAGAACTCAATGCTGATTAACATTATCAATTCATGTATTTCACTGGGAAAGTTAGATCAGGCCCATGATCTTCTCAATGAGATGCGTATGACTGGTGCAAGAACCGGCGCTTCTGTATACTCTTCTCTTATGAAAGCTTACTGCAAAACAGATCGAACGAGAGAAGTGACATCACTCCTGAGAGATGCTCAGAAAGCAGGGATTCAGCTAGACTCAAGCTGTTATGAAGCACTAGCCCAATCTCGGGTAATTCAGAAAGATAATCTCGGAGCTCTTAGCCTATTCAAAGAGATGAAAGAGCAGAACTCACCGAGAGAGGGAAATCAACAATTCGAGAGGCTGCTCAAGGGATGCGAGGGAAATGCAGAGGCAGGACTAATGTCAAAACTCTTGAGGGAAATCAGAGAAGTGCAGAGTTTGGAAACCGCAGTTCACGATTGGAACAACGTGATCCATTTCTTTAGCAAGAAGGGGTTGATGCAAGATGCAGAGAAGGCCCTGAGGAAGATGAGAAATCTCGGGCATTCCCCGAATGCTCAGACCTTCCATGCAATGGTCACAGGGTATGCTGCCATTGGAGGTAAGTACAAAGAGGTAACGGAGTTATGGGGAGAGATGAAATCGAAAGCTGCTTCGATGAAGTTTGATCAGGAACTGCTGGATTCAGTTCTGTATACATTTGTTAGAGGAGGGTTCTTCGCAAGTGCAAACGAAGTGGTGGAGATGATGGAGAAAGGAGATGCGTTTGTTGATAAGTACAAGTACAGATCACTCTTCTTGAAGTATCATAAGACACTGTACAAGGGGAAGGCACCAAAGATCAAGACAGAAGCAAAGGTCAAGAGGAGGGGAGCTGCCTTAGCATTCAAGAAATGGGTTGGCTTGTCTTGATTCTTGAAACTCTAAAGGAAGAACCTTTTGCAATCAGGGATAGATATAAGCGAATAGTAAGGTCATAATGATGTATAACTACCATAATTATTAGGTTTTATCAAAAGGGTCAGTTTTGTTTTAGTTCTCAAGAGTTTTATGATGATGATAATGATGATGGGGCCAACCCGAAAGAGAAATTAGGTGGCAGGTGGTTTCCTAATTGGCTTTTCCAATTTAAGGACAAAGATTGTCCTGATGAAAACTATTACCTTTATTGTTTTCTGTTCTGCATAGTAATAATCAGATAATGAAAAAAAAAATCTCATCTAAAGATAAATTAATTTATTATAATATATGAGATTGTTATAAATGTAAAATTGAAAATATAAGTTGTTTCCTAATTTCCATTCAAAAAATTAAAACTTTCCATTGACGTTCAAAATTAAACGATATTGGATAATATTCTTTATTTGATGAATAGTTTTTCAAAAAAAAATTGATGAATCGATTACAAATCAAGATGACGTGTGTGTGTATAATACGTAGGCATAGTCGGGCAATACGGAACGGTCCCACGTCCGACGTGGAGGAAGTACAAAGGGTGACGGAAGTGGACCGACCCGACGAAAGCTCACACCGTCCAAAGGCGGCCTCTGCTTTGCCTCTTGATTGTGACGCCAAACCCCCCTAATGTCATGCCAAAGATTCTCTCCCTTTCTTCCGCTAATTTAATCACCCTTTATTGAAATTATTTTTAAAAAAATATAACGCAGACAAAAAAACAACAACTACGGGTGCACTGAAAATTCTGCAACGGTCACAATATCTGTGATTAAATGTGTTGGATTGATGGTATTAATTGAGAAAATCATTGAATCAATTATTTTTTTTTTTGGAGAAAAGAATAAAATAAGTTATGGATACGGAATCTTCTCTTTCCAAAAAAATACATTCATTTCGATCCCGAGGAGAATTCCTTATTTTTGGGGAGAACCGTGTTTGAGGGTAGTTTCGTCATTTAATAGATTCTCTCTCTCTCTAAGGCTTCTACCAGACCCTTGATCAGAGCACTTCACTGCGAAAAGAGCAAAAGCGCCGAGTTAGAGAGAGAAGGAGAGATCTAGAAGAAGATGGCATGAGGCATGCGGAGAAAGAGAAGCCGAAGCTAATCGGAAG